GAGAGAGAGAGAGAGAGAGAGAGAGAGAGAGAGAGAGAGAGAGAGACCCCTCTCTCCTGCCTCATAGAAACCTCAGTTAGGGATGGGTGGAGAGAGTTTGGTGTCCAGTTAAAGCTGGACATTCAAAGTTGCAGCAAAGTGGCAGAGTGGAGAAGACTGTCTCTATTCTATAGATCACCAAACTGAGGCCCAGATTGAAGAAAATAGAGGTGTGATCACCTCTGTTTTCTAGATAAGGAAGATTCTTGAAGAAGGGAAGTGACTTGCCCAAGGTCTCACAGCCATAAAATGTGGAGCCAGGACTGGATCCAGTTCTGGGAGCTCGTGCTCTGTCCTCCGTCCCAGCCTGTCCCATCACCTCCAGCTGGGACTAGGGGCATCCGCTTCTGGGAAATCTGTGGTGCTGCGGAAAACCAGAAAGGGTCTCTGAGGACGTGATAGGGTTGGACAAATGGAAATCAGGAGGACTCGTGGACTGTCACTGTCTCAGAAGGCAAGAAGAAAGCCACCTTGAGGAACTCACTTGAGTGGGCTCAAAGCCACAAATTAAAAAGATGTTACAGAATGGCAGAAACACTTCACTTCTTGTGCTAATTCCCATTGCCTGGTACTGGCTGTTGGACAAGTCATCCTCAGGGTCTGAACTCAGCAGAGGAGAGTGTGATGATTTATTAGCAATGTCTGCCATGAGCAGTATAGACACTACATCCTTGCTGCAACCACCTGCCTCCTTTTTGAAGATTTTGCATTCCTTTGCAAAATATCAAAGCGATAACAGAGTGGAGGAGAAAATCTCTAGACAACACGAAGTTTGCTAATGCCTTTGGACAAGTCAGTTCTTCTCTCTGGGCCTCAGTCCCCCCAGCTGTGAGATGAGGATGTTGGGCTTCTTGATGCTGTGGGTCAGGCTGGCTTTCATAACCTTTGCTTATAATAAAGGGAGCTCGGTAAATGTGCAGTGAGGAATGGCCTGTTCCCAGGGACAAGTTTGTTCTTAGGAAGGCTCATACCCATTGACCCAGGATCTGTGTAGGTTCTGTGCTAGGGAGTTGCCCAGTGGTGTGGGCAAAGTGATCTGTTAGGCTGCTCAATGGAGCATTATGTATAATAACCCTAACGTACGACCAGCTTAAATGTCCAGCAATGGGTGATTTATTAAATAAACTGTAGGCCACCCAACAGCCACTACAAAACAATATAGAGTAACATATTGAAGGGTCTTAGCAAATGAAAAAAAAGGAAACATTTTCTTCTGTTTTTTATTAAAATATTGTTTTTCTCAGAGAAAAAATACTGGAAGGAACTTTACCAAAATAATGCTTACTTCTTGGTGATGTCATCACAGATAACTCTTACCAACGTCTTTGTATTTTCAAAATTAAAAAAATTTTTACACGGAATGCATTTTTTTGCTTAGCAAACAACCACTGAATTAGCTTGAAAACGAGTAAATAAAGGTTGGGCAGAGGACAAAGAAATACAGGAAGCCTCATTTCTTTCCCAGAACCAACCCAGAGACTCCAGGATTCCAGAGGAACTCTGATATGACGTGGCTGATAGTTGCAACAAAAGCCTAGTCACACTGGTCCCGGAACCACCAGGAAAGAAAGACAGAAATCAGAACTGGAAACGCACGGGCATAATCCCTCTTTTGTAGCACAAGAATAAATAAGATTCAGAGCAAACAAACCTTGGCTAAACCAGACTCCTAGCTCTTCCCTGCCTTTGTAGGCCTCACAGTCAAGGGGGCGGAGGATTGTCATACAGGGACAGAAAGGACAGGTGTTGAGTCATGATCAGGGTCAATGTAAGCAGAAGGCTAAGTGCTGTAATTCCCATTAATTCGGACAGCATGTGATCTGGTGGAGGTCAGCTGGGCATTGGTAAGTGCCCTAGGAAAGGGAAACCCAGACAGAGTGATATGTGCTCCCCATTCTCTTTAGTCACTCAAGATTGGAGGGACAGACAGACACAGGCCAGTTGGACAGTCAGCTAATGGACCCAGTTCTGGGTGCCTTGGATGTAGCAGGGAGCAAACCAACCAACCCTTCTTTCCCCAGGCTCACATTCTCCTGGGGAGACAGAGGGTGGGCCAGAAATGGAGAAAGAAATATGAAAACACAGAGTTCACAATTGTCTCGGTCGTGGGGACAGCGAACAAAAATAAATAACATGTATGGAAGGCTGGAGCTCTACAATCAGAGCATTATGAGGGTTTAAACAGCTTTAGCCCCCTGGGAACTGGATGCCCTCCCCCAATATATAACTCACTCACTCACTCACTCACTCACTCACTCACTCACTCACACACCCTGTGTAAATCTCTCCTTGTTCAACTATCACATTTCATGTGTTGGACTTTGGGAACACAATTTGGGGACTAATTATATGTAAGAAAGGAGGGGCTGCCTAAAGTCAAGAATAGGAACAGTCCTACCATTTCTGAGTGTTCACTACCTGCCAGGCTAAGCCTAGTGTGCAAGTTCACTTCTATTACCCCCATTGTACAGATAAGGAAATGGAGGTGCAGAAAGGCCATGTGACCTGCTCAAGGTCACACAGCTACCTGGACAAGAGGCCAGGATTTGAACTCTGGTCCATCTGACTCTGGAACTTGTGCTCTTAATCTTTCAGCCACTGTCTCCCAAACACCTGTTGTCTGTGTACCACATTCACCTGCTGGTTACATCTTCCCTCACATTGGGCAACATTTGCCTACCCTGGGATTACTGCTTCTTCACCATGCATTTTGGTTAACGGAATCATGTTTGAAAGCTTGACTACACTTGGTTTTCTGTTTCTCACAGGAAATTGCATAACCCTACCAAAAGTGAAAAAGCAACATTGCTTCCCATGACTAGGAGGTGACGACACAGCTATGGTGATGACAATAATGCCTGTAATTCAGCTTAACGAGCATTCACACACCCTTTCCATGCATTAGCCCATCTAACCCCACACTGATGCCTGGAGGAGGGCACTGTTTTACCCTCATTTCACAAATGAGGTTTGCATGAGCCCCCTTCAGAGAGGCGAAATACTTTTTCTAGTGTCACAGTGAAAACAAACACAGAAACATATTGTTGAGCTCTGGCTGGCCATGTTGCCTGCTCGAGGTGCCTGGAGGGAATAGCCTGTGGTTGGAGAGGTGTTGAAGACACACTAGCATTCCACCCAGCCTTTCATATCGGGAGGATTGAGGAAGAAGAGGAAGACCAATCACTTTCTCACTCCTGCCAGTAGTGTGGGAGGCAGCCGCGCTTCTGGAAAACTCTGCACCAAGTTCTCTATCATGCATCAAAAAAATGCATTGGAGCTCTTTCTGAATGTGTGCCAGCCAGATTGCAATTCTCTTACCTTGTGGGCAGCTGTGTCCACTGGCACCAGCGAGGCTCTGAAACCCGAACGAAGTGAGTTCTTGAAACTCTGGACGCACGACCTCCCTGGACTACGAATGTCTTGCTCTTTGCTTACTGGTCTTCCTGGGGGCTGGGAAGAGAGGAGGGGGACCCATCGGGCACCTCCCTCAAAGTTAACCCACATGGAATTAGGTTTCTGTGCTAACATTTACTCACAAAGTCACACAGTCGTCCAGGAGAGGAGAAAGAGGTAATTAATGGACAAACCAGGAGACGCATTTGAAGGTGGGGCCACCTCAGGAACTCTTTTTGATGTCTTCCTTTGCGTTGAGCAGGGACATTCAGGACTCCCCTCCCCACATCCCACTCTGCTCCTCTGGCCTTTCCGTGTCTGCTAATCCTGAGAGAGGTCATTCTAGGGTCTCCTTGCACAGACAGCCTGACTTATAGCTTCTTTCCACTCATTCCTCACCTCCCCCTCACCTCCTGAGTCTCCCCTCAAATGGAGCCTTTGGCCTCCCTCCTCTCCACCCCCACTGCCTGGCCTCACCATTTATTGATGGGGCAGTTGTGACAGCCTCCTCTCTGGCCTCCCTACGGCCTGGCTCCCTCAGATTTCCTCTCCATACTATAGCCAGAGCCATCTTCCATCCCCCTCATACTATTTTATGAATGTTTTCAAACACGGAGCAAGTTTGAAACATTATCTATAATACAGATAACACTATCTATCCACGACCCAAATTCTGCCCATGCATCTTATTGGTTTGATGTATTTCAAACTAAATTGCAGATGTCAGTATCCTTCCTACTATGGACATCAGCATGAGTTCAACATTGGTCTGCAGTTGGGTTTTTGGCCTGAAGGAGGGCAAGATGCAGAGTATGAGTTCATCCAACACCAGCTGCCTCCTCCATGATGCCCAAGTTCAACTCAACAAGATCAAAGTTGTGTGTCAGTGGGGAGGTGAGTACCACGTCCGTCCTGTCTCCAAAGGCCTGTCTCCAAAAAAAGGTGGTGATGATGTTACCGGAGAGTGGGCCCTTCTAGGTGCTATGTCCAGGCTTGGTTTCCACAATGGGGGTTGAACCTGGTGGTGTCCAGGCTAGATTCTCAGAACGGGGGTTGAACCCGGGCCTCGAGCAAAAGTGGAAATCTTAGCAGCTCCGGCTGCCGGAGGATGGGCCCTCCTCGGCACAGTGTCCAGGTTCTTGGTGCCTCAAGCAAAGAATTGAACGAGATACAGAGGTAAAGTAGTGAAAGATCAGCTTATTAGAAGAAAAAGTATACTTTAAAGAGGTAGAAGTGGGCCCAAGCTGAAGGCAGTTGTTCAAGGGCCATTATTAGAAGAGAAAGTACACTCCAAAGGGTTTGGAGCAGGCCCAAGCAAAAGCATGGCAAAGGCTCAAAGGAGCAAGGCCAAAGCCAAGGGCCCAAAGGCCTCAAAGGCCCAAAGGGCCAAGGGCCCTGACTGGTGAGGACTTGGAGTTTTTATCCCTTTTTTTCTACAATGGGCCGTTCCTCTCTGGGCATAGGCCCACTTGATTGACACCTGTGCTTGACAACAGGCTATTACCTCTTCTCTTTAGAAGGTGCATGTTCTTTCCCAGAGTTCAGTCTGTTATAATGATATTAATGAACTTCCGGGCATATGTATGATATTATAATGAGGGCATAATGAGGCCCAGGTGAAATGAAGGTCGTTGTGGCCTTTACTGCACAGGTGTGAGTGACTGGTCTAATCTAGTTGGGTATTTTGTACCCATTTGTTTCCTCATAGGGGTAGGTAATTACAATGAAAAGGGTGGATAGGGGAGGTCTTTTGGGCGGTCGCATTCTGTAGGTTGTGTTGGACATGCAGGAATGCAGAGACCCAATGTCTGCCTCTAACTGCCTGCCTTGCTTTCCCCTTGAGAGATGTGATCCCCATAAAATCTCTATGGGAAATTGAGAGACAGGAGGTCTTTTCTTCTGTATTTGCTTCCTGCTGGGCAGGGGCGTAGAGCTGTCCCTGCCTATTGGGGGATTCACGGAACTCTCACCCTACCTGATCTTAGATGAGAGGAAGGGGTCTCGAGATCCACCTGCAAGGCCGTGTTGGCTTCTTTGGTTGGGACTGGCAATCATGCTGGGTGGGGAATCACCTGTATCCCCAAAGCCCCTGAATGAGGAAAAATAGATTTTAATTAATAAATTTCTCAAAAATCAGAGCTCAAAGCTATTGATGTGGGGTGGCTACGTAAAGGAAGAATCTGTCAGCTCTTATGTAGCCTGTAGCCATTCAACAGGTCACTTGAGTGGTGTCAGTTGTCCAGGAGCTGGGCCCAGGATGGGTTGGAAAAAACATTAGGCTTCAATGATTACAATTAACAAGTATAAATCACAGATTTCAGGGTAATTATCTAAAGCAGAGGGTAGGAGATTTCTAT